TAGATGTAATGGCATGAATGGGCAACAGTACACTGAGAGAAGCATGTTTATTCTAACATGTTCATTAATCTTTTTATTATGTCATTAATATTAATGTCTTTGAATATCTGCTGCTGCTGCCACAAGACTACTTCTCATCAGAAAACTTGAGGAAAAATTTACTTATAAGTGAAAGAAGTGACCCTACTTAGCTGTTTTACAAAGTTAATCCTTTTTTCTTCTTTTGCTCTCATCAGTTTTCCAATTTACTGGTATTTGTCTTTGTAGTTTGTATTCTAAGCAAGCTAGGAACTCATCTTGCAGGAGTCAAAGAATTCTACTTTTATTCTCAGTTTATCAGGATCTAGGATACTGTTTTCTGGTACAGTTTACAGGATGTCTTTTTGGTAATACTGGTGAGTTACTGAGGTGTGGTCTAATATTCATCTTCCTCTGAAGTAAGCACTAGGGCTGACTGGTTCCTGAAATTCAAGGATAGTATAAAAAGACACAAAACCAAACCGTTTTCAAAATATTGCAAACATCTTTTACGTAGATTAAATAAAATGGAGTGGTGTTATATAAACTTACTGTTGACGGTTATTAGTGATCAGCTTGCATGCTTTCAGAAAAATGCAATAGTGGATCTTTTCCTAGGCCGTAAAATTAAATCTGATATGACTGGGTTTTTTTGTTTGTAGCCATGTGCTTTTTGGTAACTAACTAGAAATGTGTGGTGACTTTTACAACTGGGTCTATTTTAGCTCTGGAGCTTTCTGTTTTACAAAGGCAAAATTAAAGTGAGGCCACAAATGACTAAGATACTGCATATCTACTGTGCTATCTTCATTTCAGAGCATTTCTGCGAATGTGAAAAGCAGTACAGCAATCCTCATTTCTGTTTGGGTTATTTCTTCCACTACAAGACCTTCTTCTTGTCTGTGCATATGCTCTGCAGTCATCTTGGGCTTTGCTGCCAAGTCAGATTGACCTTTCTTATGGTCAGATTTTTATTTTCTTCATTGCTGTGTTGTCTGTCTGTCGTAAGCAATGTCCCCACCGTTGTAATCTTCTTGACTGTAGCCTGTCCCCTCCATATTCCATTCTTGTCACTTTGTCTTAAAATCAGTGCGATATCTGCCATCTTATAAAGAGCTCTCAGCTCTGTAGCCCCCAGGCTTCTGATGTGTTTTGTTAAATCCAGCTGCTTTCCAAACGCATGATGGTATTATTATAGACCGATTAGATGAACTCCACTTTGGTACCAAATGTGACGTTTTTCTCTGGTTCTAATTTTGTCAGGATTTGCGTGGTGCTTGAGGCCAAAACTTGACTCAGTCTGACCTCATCTTGCTGGATCTGTTGTCGTTGACTGGTCTCCTTTGGTACAGAACAATCTCCTTACTCTGTGACTTTTGCTACTTTCCTCTATTGGGATTAAGTGATCTTATCATACAGATATTTAGAATACAGCTCAAAGTGCTGGGAGGTTTTTTTTTGAGTGTATTACCAGCTCAACAGTTCGTTGTTCTAGTCACTCAACTGCTTGTTGCTGCCCCTCTGCAGCCTCCTTTGTAGCCATTATGACCCTTTGTGAGGCCACACAAACTGCAGTAGACTGGGGAACTGCTCCAGCTTAAAAATAACTTTGCAAAGAAAAATGTAAATACCTTTATTGTAATTCCATGTTTCCAAGCTAGCGGGATTATCATTAAAAAAAGAAATTGCTAGTTATACAATGTTTTCTGAATAAGCTAAGAAGCTTAACATGATTGATCATCAACCTTCCAGCTCATGCAATAGTCCTGTAGTCCACTGTAGAACATGAAAAGCCGCGTGATGCATTACCTGCTTACCACCAGTCTTTTTCTGTACTGAACTTTAATGCAGTGTTGTCTTAGGGTAATATTCACTACTTGTAGACAGTCTAGTGCCTATCACCGTTTGGCGTTTATTGAAAGTAACACACTGAGTCAGCAATGAAGTTTTTCTGCTTAGTGAGTTCTGTGCAGCTGAAGATTAATTATTTTTGTTTTGGGTTTAGCGCACAGCTACGTGCATCAGTTTGTGGTAATCAGCTGGAAAATTTCTTAGTGGCTGACAGCCACTTTACTGGTTTTTACTGCCGAAATTACTGTTTCTGGGATTTTTTTTAACTATAAAACTGTAGATGTTAGGGTTTGCTTGAACGTCTAGAAAAGAGAGTGTAATTTCAGATAGAAATTTCTTTTTTACAGGGACTAAAGCCTACTCAGGAGCAAATACAATTCTTGCCTCACAGCATATAAGAAGTGTGATAAATGTTGCTGTGATGTGAAATCCATGGGCATTTCTACTTGTCTATAATACAGTTTCCACTTGTCCATAATACAGACAAAATCTGTATTACATACTTCAGCTTTTCGGACTATTTGTACAATGTGTTATTCGGGTATGTAGTGACTTTCTAGGCCATTCTGCTCTTGCCTGTCTTGAGGGAATACTGTTTCGTAGCTTCCTGGACCTGTAGTCTTGTGTGTCCTTCCTTTCCAATGTACTGAGCTTTGATTACTTGATTCAGGATTGTATTTCTCAAAAGTACAGTTTCTCATAGTGTTCTGGTTGAGAAACTGATAACTGCTGGCCTGGATAGGCACACCCTCCTTTGGGTTAAAAACTGGCTGGATGGCCGGGCCCAAAGAGTGGTGGTAAATGGGGCTAAATCCGACCGGAGGCCGGTCACCAGTGGGGTTCCCCAGGGCTCAGTGCTGGGTCCGGTTCTGTTTAACATCTTTATCAATGACCTGGATGAGGGGATTGAATGTACCCTCAGTAAATTTGTGGACGACACCAAGCTGGAAGGCTGTGTCGATCTGCTCGAGGGTAGGGAGGCCCTTCAGAGGGATTTGAACAGACTGGATCGTTGGGCTGAGGCCAATGGCATGAGCTTTAATAAGGCCAAGTGCAGAGTCCTTCACTTGGGGTATAAAAACCCCAAGCATCGCTATAGGCTTGGGGAAGACTGGCTGGAGAGCTGCCTGGCGGAGAAGGACCTAGGGGTGTTGGTTGACTACTGGCTTGATATGAGCCAGCAGTGTGCCCAGGTGGCCAAAAAGGCCAATGGGATACTGGCATGTATCAAGAATAGTGCA